GCCCTCTTCAGGGGTTAGGCATCTCAATAAAGGCAGGGAAAAGCCGCGTCGGTACAACACTCCATCTCGGACCACGAACCGAGCTGCTCGTCTTGCCAACTTTCTGCGCTCCTTGGGGTCTTGTGGTGAGTTGCCCCTAATGAAGTCCGCAATCGGGTCCATCCATGAGGACTCTGGAGCGCCGATCTCCATCAGATCTGGCTCTGAGATCGAGGGATTATCTAAGATCTTGACGGGGACCGACCTGGCCAGGTCGGTCTCGTACGCCGATGCTAACTTGGCTAAGGCGTCAGCATTAGAATTTTCTGCTCGGGAACCCGGCGTACTTCGTAAGTTCGAAACTGGGCGAGGTACGATCTGACCTTACCTAAATACCTCTCCATTCGAGAGTCTTTGGCTTGGTACTCTTCCTTGATCTGGCTCACAACCAGCTGGGAGTYGCTGAAGACCTTAACACAAGAGGCCCCCAATGCTCTAGCGATCCGCAGGCCGGCAATAACTGCTTCATACTCAGCCTYGTTGTTAGAAGTCCGGAAGCTGAACCGCAAGGCATACTCAAATCGCTCKCCTCCTGGTCCGAGCAAGAGGACCCCGGCCCCGCACCCCTTCTCATTGGAGGATCCGTCGACATAGACTGTCCACGGTAGGTCGGACTCACTCAGCTCGGAAGCTGGTGTGAGCTCGGCTATAAAATCTGCCACTGCTTGTCCTTTCAACGCAGTTCTGGGTTAGAACTGGATGTCGTACTCACTTAGCTCCATTGCCCACTTCATCAGGCTTCCAGAAGCTTCTGGCTTATGGAAGATGTTTTTTAGGGGCAGGCTAGTGAGCACCACCACAGTATGGGCTTGGAAGTATGGTCTAAGCCGTCGGGCCGAGGTGACTAGAGCAAGAGCCAACTTTTCCATTTGAGGGTATCTGGTCTCGGCTTCAGTCATAGCCTTGCTTGTGTAGTAGACCGGGTTTTGCCGCGCTTCCACTTGCCTGATTAGGGCCGAGCTGACGGCGCTGTCAGACACTGCCAAGTACAACTGGAGCTTGTCCCCCGGCATGGGCTTGGCGAGCAAAGGTGCCGAACAGAGGTAGCTTTTCAACTGCTGAAATGCTTGCTCGCATTCCGTTGTCCATTCAAACGGCCCTTTCCTCCGTAGGACTTTGAAGAAAGGAAGGCACTTATCTGTCGATCTGGAGACAAACCGGTTCAGGGCCGTAATCCTGCCATTGAGGCACTGAAGCTGTTTCAGCGTCTTAGGTGCCTCCATCTCGAGCACGGCTTTAATCTTTTCGGGGTTGGCCTCGATTCCCCGGTTGTT